GGTGCATCTACCAACCCAGAAAACGTGAAAAAGAACAACCCAGTAGATATTTTTTGCTAAGCCTTTCTCTGTAAGCTTGTGAAAAAATAACGAGCCGTTCAGATTTCGCTCCAGCCGTGACGTAGAAAGGGGATCTTATAATATCACCGCCCCTTAATCTGCACGTTTCCACACGCAGCACCATGGCAAAATTTCAAGCAAAGCATGCTAACTGTTCTGCCTTTGGCTGCACTGACGAGCACAGAACACTATTTAGAGTCCCAGCCTCAGAGGAGACAAGAGAGCAGTGTATTTATTGATTGATTTAGGCTACTGTATATTGCTGCTGCCACACAGATCTAATATAAACATGCCATTTATTTCCCAGCTGTTTACCTTCACAGACATAACCCACTGTTTTTGTAACGCATGCATGTTTTAAACGTAAACTTGTGTGTATTTGACAGTTTAAGCGCAATAAGCCATGAAAGAGAACTTAGTTTAGTATTCTCATGCCGTGTGACAGACGCTTTATGTGCGTGTGTGCTCAGAAAACCCGATATCAGAAGTTTAAACTAATATGGTTTAAAATGCACAATTTCAACGCGATAGACATGATAATCAAAACCAAACGGATGTTTTTTTTAGCTGAATATCTGAGGTGCGAGCTGTAAAGCTGTTTATCATTGTGCAAAACAACTGAGAGCCCAAGCTTTTGTATCAGGTTGTTTTGTTAAAGCTCTAAATATAAAGGTGGCATAATAGTGAAAATATAATGGAAAATACCCAAGTGTTCGGTCACCAGAGAGGTCTGTCTTTTCAATGGAAAATTGAGTTGTTTAAAAAATTACGTGGTCAAAAAAAAACTGAAACATTTGCGTGGATAAATTTGCTCACAATATGATCAATAACATCCAGGCATTCAGCAAACATGCTGTTACATAATTTTGGAATGAAATGAAAATTCGATATTTTCATTAGTTCCGAAGTTATGTAACTGCATGTTTGCTGAATGCCTATGATATATGAAGTATTATAGATGGCAAGTAGTTGTACAATTTACAGCACTTGGTTTAGTCTTCTGTCATTCTTCACACAAACACAGGAAATAGCTGACTGATTTCCGCTGTCAGAACTGTTTTGCACGTCATATGTACTGAAACTTTTTAGTTACTTTTTTTTTTTTTTTTTTGAGAGTGTAACCTTAAAGTGATAATTCACCCAAAAATTACAATGATGCCGTCATCTCACCCTCAAGTTGTTCCAAACCTGTATGAGTTTCTTGCTTCTGTTGAACACAGAAGAAGTTATTTTGAAGAACGTCGGTAACCAAATAGTTGCTGGTAGCCATTGACTTCCATTATAAGGAAAAAATACTATGGAAGTCAGTGGCTACCAGCAACTGTCTGGTTACCAGCGTTCTTCAAAAATATCGCCACGTTTCCTAGATCACTTCCTAAGTATTACCTCTTTAATTAACAATTAGTGAGTAGTTTATTGCGTTTATTTTGTCTCAGCTGTATGCTTTTTTTTTCTGTGCATGTTTGTTCATGTGTCTTAGGCCTCTGCCTCACATCAGGAATGGCTCCCCTCTCTTCCGTCCCATTGGTAATCCTGAGTTTGTAAAAGACATGCTTATTTTTCCTGAGCACGTAGAAAGCTGCAATAAAGGTAAGACAAAAGCACACATGGAACACCATTTTGAGAAAATAAGATTAATAAAAATGTAAGAAATCTCCCAGCCAGAATGCGTTCTCATGAGTTATTATTAGTTGTTGTAACCTGTTTAACTTGCTATACTGTATTATTTTTTTTTTTTTGTTAATAATTCAAATAATTGCATTTACAACAAATGTAAAACTCAATTCTGTCATTTATAATACATTATTTGGTGTTTACAGCTGTCATATCCTGCTGCACCTCCATAACAATTCATTATTTAATAAACAGATCCAGTTGCCACTCTCATTTAGTGCTAGCCTTGGATCCTGCTTATACTGCTGAAAAATAGCATAATGAATTCTCATGACATTAATAGATTCAAAACTAATTTTCCAGAAAATAACCCACGATTGACAAATTATTATTAATAGATTTATTCCCATTCAGTAGCTTCGCATGCATTGTGGAATAAGATGTTAAATTTTGGGAGAGGAAGGCGTTACGTATGTTTTGCGTTCAGTTGTGTGTATATGCTTTGGACTTTCGTATTTAAATCTTTCCAGAATACTGCCAGCTTAAAGGAATATTTCACCCAAATCAGATTTGGAGAAATGTAGCATTGCATCACTTGCTCACCAATGGAAGTGAATGGGTGCCGTCAGATTGAGAGTCCAAACAGCTGATAAAAACATCACGATAATCCACACCACTCCAGTCCATCAGCTAACATCTGGAGAAGACAAAAGCTGTGTTTTTAATAAATACATTTATCATGAAGATGTTTTAATCTTCAAACCATTGCATCCGGCTGTAAGTCCATATTCCGTAATAACGCTTTCTCAGTTAGTACGGGTGAACTATTCATCTAATGCATCACAAAATTATGTAATACAATGATGTAATGGAATTATTTGCAAGCTTTCATCACAGCTAAGTATCCTGGCAGAGGCTACATTGGCAGTATTCAAATGAGCAAATGGTGTGTGTGTGTGTGTGTACACGTGTGTTTTGGCTTGAACAATCATCTTTGCATGAAACATTTTGCAGCCTGCAGATGTTGGCAGTGCATTATTTTATGAGTATGATCAGGGCGGACATTCAAACTGCAAAGGGGACTGACGTGTTCTGATTTTTTTTCAGTTTTTGCAAGTCTTCTTGGAGACACCATACTAATTGATGACTTGGATTCTGCTAATGATTATCGTCGGGGGGTAAGACACTGAGTGTATGTCTTTGTGATGAAGAATTTTCAAGTATTTACAGCAAACATGCATATAAACGTGTATGTTTGGTAGGTGGTTCAGAATAAGATGCAGTGCCCCACGCTCTTAACGCGTCAGGGAGAGCGGATTCGCAGCAACGGGAAGTTCGGAGGACTGCAGAACAAGGCTCCATCCATTGAGAAACTTCGAGGACAAGTGTTTGGAGCACCATTACCCAAAGAGTACAACCGCATACACCATCAGATGGGTAACAAACATACTGCATCTCTTGGTGCACTGGAAGATCTGTACTCTGAGTGATCTGAGATACTTTGTGTGTTTGATCTCTCTTCTTGTAAAAGTTACAGTTAAGCTAATGAGTTATTTAAGTGAAGTTATTTGAATGCTTCAGCATATGTTGGAGTGCATCGATTACTTTTATGGTACTAGACACTACAGTTTTTGGGCTATTTTGTTTCCATAACATGTCTCATTTCAGACTAGTCAAAAAAAGCATCCAAAATACACATTTGTGACCCTGGAGCACAAAAGCAGTGTTAAGTCGCTGGGGGATATTTGTAGCAATAGCCAAAAGTACATTGTATGGGTCAAAATTATTGATTTTTCTTTTATGCCAAAAATCATTGGGATATTCAGTAAAGATCATGTTCCATGAAGATATTTTGTAAATTTCCTACCGTAAATATATCAAAACTTAATTTTTGATTAGTTATATGCATTGCTAAGAACTTCATTTGGACAACTTTAAAGACGATTTTCTCAATATTTAGATTTTTTTTCAGATTCCAGATTTTCAAATGGTTGGAAATCAATGGAAAGCTTATTTATTCAGCTTTCAGGCGATGTATAAATCTCAATTTTGAAAAATTGACCCTTATGACTGGTTTTGTGGTCCAGGGTCACATTTAAGTGTTTAGTTTATCAAAGTTTATGTATTTCCATTTGTATATTTCATTTATATTACATATCTTTAAAGGCTGTTTTTTTCTCCAGCAACACTCACTGACACAAATTAGCAGTTTTATTCCTATATATATTCTGAAAGTTTTTGCAGTTTTATGTCATTAGTTTGATTATATATTTAACATTTTGTGCCAAAAACTTTTTTTTATTTTTTATTTGTGGATTGCTAAAAAGAGATTTCCCAAATCCTCTCTATAATACACTATCTAAACAAAATGCCTAAAAAATTGCTTTATCCAGTTGTTTTGTAAAATTACGCAAAATATTTAATTAGATAATTAGTGCATGTTTAATTAGATAATGCATCATTTGGATACTTAAACATTTCAGAAAACTTACATAATACAAAAAAAGTCTTATTGTACCGTGATTGATCAGCTGAGGAGGAAATATCGATTTGTTCATTTTTTTACCCTGTTCACTTGTTGGGTCTTGCCTTAAAAAACACTTATGTGAGTTCACTAGGAGCATGATGTGTCTCATGGATGGGAGCTGTCTGTAGTCGCTGTGTCTTATGTTTGGTTGTGTGTGTGCAGAGTTACTGCAGCAGTGTCGTGTTGCAATGCAGAAGGCCTCTGAGGTCCGGTCTGAGTATAACAGTCATTTGGAGCACCTGCAGAGTCCTGAGATGAAACAGAAACAACAAGACCTCCAGCAGCAAGAGCAAGAGCTAAGGGAACTTGAGGAAACCCTTGGTATGTGTTTTTGGCATTGCAGAGCTGCTTACTTTCTGAACGCAAAACCAGAATTTCGATGATTGGCATAAAGTTATCACAGATCTGTTTGCTTTGTCATTAAGGGGGATAAAGTAGATGCTCTTAGGAAATATTTGAAAACTTTTTCAAGATTTGCACATTCTTACACATTTAGAATTTTTATTAAATTAATTTCTGTTTTAGCTGAGCTACTGGAATGGTGAAGCAACAGTTTGGAAAGAACCTTGGGTAACACTTTATTTTAGGGTCTCTGAACCTAGTGGCTTATTAGCATGCATATTACTAGAATATTAGCCATTTATTAGTAGTAATTACGCACATATTAATGCCTTATTCTACATCCCTAATCCTAGCCAACACCTAAACTTAACAACTACCTTACTAACTATTAAAAAGCAGCCAATTAGGAATTTATTGAGGGAAAAGTCAAAGTTAATACCAAATTATGCCAAATATTTGGAAGTTTTCACCATGAACACTCCCCTCTCCTTGGTCTTTAAAAATGGCTGACATTAATTTAATTAATTTAGTGATAAAATTGTACATCCTTATGGAAATATAATAATATTTTGTAATTTTATCATGATTAATTATCAAATTGTTTGTCGTAAATCAACATCTCAGGAAAATGTTATGGGGTTTCAAATCAAAATATGACTTTCTGTTATGAAACAGGACATCATACATGTCCACTGTAGAGGACACCAGGACTAAAAGCATGTTTATTATACATTTTGGGAGACAAAACAATTGAATAGGAAAATACATTATATATCAATATTCCTATGAAATATTAGATATTATGACAATCTGGGCAATTATTAGTACCATTATTACACTTCTTTTTTCAATGTGCTGTCCCAACAGTACACAATAATATGCAAATTAGATACAGTGTATAGATAACATTGTGTTTAATGGGAAAACAAGTTTATGGAAATTTTACACACACATTGCATAAAGCAAAATGGTATATCAAATCATTCTGTTATATATTTAATAACATAGTTGAGAATCATCCTCAAACAAAATTTGGTATAAAAAAATCCTGAAACCTAAAAATTGATTCGTGATTTTTAAAAAAAAATTAAGTTTTTGCCTTTTCATGTTTATTCATGTCATTTTATTCTTTTTAGAAAAATTGAGTCCTGGTGTCCTCTACAGAGGACATAACATATATGAATAAAATATAATTTTTCAAAAATTTTATTTTTCCATTTTTTTCTTATGCTCTAAACAATGTAATGAAAAAATACTAAATTCGCAAAGCTTTTTTCTCTGAGTCTCAGGAGCGATGCGACCGCTTCCGATGCGATGCGAGCCCATTACGATGCAGTGCGATCCGATTTCGAGTCGATTCAACACAATGCGATTCAATGCAATAAAATACGCTATGCAATTCAATATGGTACAGATAGTTCACTTTTATTTCTTTGGTTCGTTGTAATTATTTGGTGGAAGATGCAGCTCTACCTCTGCCATATTAATGTTAATGTTTAGAGAGGAGAAATCAATCTACATATAAAATACTATAAAAAACCTTTATTTAACCTTTATTCCAATGCACTGATGTGAATCTGGGACTCTTCAAATCCCTAGTAGAAATGATAGTCAAGTTTCTTAACTGTTTTTTCACTCTATCCTTTCTGTGATTGGTGAATACTGACAAGAATTGAAATGTGTGTTTGTTTGTGTGTGTGTGTGTGTGTGTGTGTGTGTGTGTGTGTGTGTGTGTGTGTTTGTTTATGTCTGTGTGTGTGTGTGTTTGTCTGTGTCTCTCTGTGGGTGAGTGTGTGTGTGTGTGTGTGTGTGTGTGTGTGTGTGTGTGTGTGTTTGTCTGTGTCTGTATCTGTGTCTGTGTCTGCAGCCAGCACTCCTACACGACTCTACGCTGTAAGAGTGAAAAGGAGCCTTGAGCCAGAAATGCCCGAGCCCTCAGTCCCTTCTAAAAGATCCCGGCGCAAAACACGCAAACTGGGTACATCAACAGTCGTCTGAAGTGTTTGCTATTCCACAGTTTTTTTCTGACTTGTCTGTTGCTTTTTCATTGAAGTTAATAGTTTGTTGTTGTTTTGTTTCTGCAGATTCATGAAGTTGCACGAGCTGACAGCTGATGCCGTGCTTTTTTATTAGGTTAATCAGTGTCAACAAGTATTTTGTTCATTTGCAAATCCTTTTTTTGTTCACTCTTTACAGATTATGAGTTGTCTGATTGAAGCAGAAAGCAAAAACAAAAGTTCAATAATTGGACTGTGTCCATAATATATTTTGTATCTTTCTTTGAGGAAAAAAAAAACGTTTTTACACTTGCATCAGGTCTTGTCTTTTTTTTTTTTTTAATTCAGCAAACCTTCCAGCAGTCACACTTTCACTGGAGCTCTGTTCAAGTGGGATTGTTTTCTCATCATGTGTTTAGAAAGTTCAGTGTATACTTTGGTTTTTGCACGCATACATTGTAGTGGATGCATACAGCTTACAATAGCATTTCAACAGATACTCCGTTAAACCATACGCAACATAGTGAACATTGATTGCACTTTTCCACTCAAGTGTCTAAATTCACTAATCGTTTTCATTCACTCCTTCAAGTGGACTATTATAGTGATCTAATATGGGTAATAATTTATTAATTTATCCAACTTATTTTTCAGCACGACAGCTATTCTTTACCATAACAAACTGATGTCCTTTTGTCTTCTTTGCTTAATTTTGTTTGTGCATTTTTGTTCCTATAATAAACTATTTTTTGTAGTTTAAAAATGTTATTCACGCAGCTTTGGCATATAGAGTGCTATATGGAAAAATTGTAAAATAAATGTTTTGATTTGCTGAAGTCAAGTAACTTGCTTTACACAAACCTAAAAAAAAACTACAAAAAAAAATATTTTTGTAGTACATAGTATGCTGTATAATAAGAGTTTCATGTGTTGGTAAAGCTTGTAAGGGTATTATGTAATATGCATTACTAAAGGATATTTTTACTCAAGAAAATCTATTTGTATTGTAATAATGTCAAGTTTTTATTTTGTAATCGAAGTGCTTCAAGAAAATTTCTATTTGGGCCATTTAGGATTGGGGTCACACTTAAGTTTGGGGACCAACTCTCACTATTAACTGTGACTTTTGCCTCAATAGACTCCTATTACTGCTTTATTAGTACTACGGTAGTTTAGGTATGGGGTAGGATTAAGGGCTCTAGAATATAGTCATACAGAATAAGGCGTTGATATCTGCTTTATTATAAGTAATAATTAACAGCCAGTATGCTACTAATTTGCATGGTAATAAGCAACTAATAATGAGAATGGGTCCCTAAACTAAAGTGTTACAAGGATTGGTTCTTTAACCCCGTTAAGTGTCACCGGCTCACCTGTGGGTCGCTTGGTGCTCTTTTTTTCATTCTTTTTTCTCTATCACATATTTAAATAATCATCATAAATTACATTTCATTTAAAATCTTAGAACCTCAAAAATGTATCCTGTGAAAACCATTTTGAAATCGGACACTGCGTTACCATGGAAACGGTACTCTTCCCCTTTAGTGGGTGGAGTCAAGTATCATATTACGGTCTTTTAGAATCAAGACTTGTTATAATCTTGACGATTCCATATTTGGTGGTTATTTTGAGATAGAAGTAATATTGACAGAAATTTAGAAATTTGTGACAGAAAATTGCAAAGAAAAATTAACGGCGTTTGGATGCACCCGGTGGCTGTTTGTGGTATAAGTTGCTTTTTTTTTATATCAACTTCAAATTTGGAACATAACTTTAGACATAACGCTTTAATTTTATAGCAATTTTGTATTTAAAATATTTAGTAAAATATTTTATATAAAATAAAAATGGGTAAAGTGCATTTTCTTTACAGTAAATGTAAACTTCTATAATTTTTGATACTTTCATATTTTGAAATGATTCCACTTCAGATTGTCTTTTAAAAAAAAAAGTCCAACCTTAGGTCTGTGTTCCAAAAGCGTTCCTGAATTATAACAATTGAAGTTTCAATTAAAGAGGGAGGGGATGGTGACACTTAAGGGGTTCATATTCTCAGGATTTGTTTTTTTGCTTTTTTTTTTTTTTTTATGAGATTCTTAAAAGATGGCATCCTTTTTAAAGAAATGGCGTAACTATAAGCACGTCTAAAGCAGAGCGTAATAATCAGTGGAGAGCACTAATGGAGTTGGGACCCTGATCCCGCGCGCAGTCCAGTAGGAAGCGCTCATTGGGGCGGGGGCTCTTGCAGACTCTTGTCCCATCATCACCCTGTCAAGAAACTTCAACAAAAAAAAGCACTCTGCGAGCTTTTTATGAAAGCACGGATAAGGTGTACGCTGACTCTGGTTGGGTGATTAGAGATGAAGCGCATCCTCGCAGGTTACGCAGCGCTTATATCTATTATTCTCATGACCTTTGCTTTGACTGATGGCACTCCGTCGAGGTACAGTCTGTTCCAGGGCAGCCCTTACTCCAGCTCTGCTTCGAGACAACGAAACAAGTAAGTGTCCTTCCTATTATGGAGTTGGCATTGGAGAAGGAAAAAAACAACAACTGGGCATCTCGCGTAAAATGTGATTCTGAGAGTTATATGCATTAATATATAGGCCTATTATTAATAATATTGCCATTTAAACTGGGCTGAGCACATCTCTTGGCTTTTTAATTTCTTGTCCCGATATTGTAAAGAATCTTGACACATTGGTGTCAAACCCCTCGTTATGTGTAAACATGTCTGGCAATAAAGCTCATTCTGATTCTGATTGGTTGAAACACAGTCGTTCAACTTCTGTTTAACTAACAAGAAACAGAACGAATTAGTAGTTGAATGCAGGTTCCCATGCCTTCCTGAGAGCTGCTAAGATGTTAGGTAAATGCAGTAATAACAGTGAATTAGCTATACATAATTACATGCATAACCCTAAACCTTAGTAAGTGCTTTTTAAATAATACTCAGTACTTAAATGTATAGTTGCACTGTAACCGGAACTTCATGCACTTTAATAATTAATGCACAACTAATCTAATGCAGGACACATAACTATTTTAACCTGTCAACGAATTGTTTACATGATAAATAATAGCCGCAAAAATAATTTTGACCTAGTAGTCAATGTTATCTTTCATACTAGAGAAGTATTTACTAACTATGGATAATTCTGAAGAAATGGTTTTTAAATGCCGTTTTCTAGAGCTTTTCCCCCAGCATCCCTCTGAGCTTTACCTGTTTTGTTGGCCTATTATTATTATTTAGGTTATTACTGAAGAAGAAGACTAGGACATTTTCTCACTGAATCGCTATTGATTCATGGAGACCTCAGGAACATGTGGAGTCTTCCCAAATGCCCAAACAGTTGCAACCCTTGCAGCGATTTATTTATTTAACGTACCTCCAAGAAATATATCATTTCTCAGTGTTTCTCTACACTATTATGGATGATTAGAAGATTCTGTAGGATTAGGTTTTCATTCATTTTGTATCATGGTAGCCCACTAGTAATGACATAAGTGTTAGTTACTACATCCTTCTAGAGGAATTACAAGCCATTTGGAACTGTATTCTACACTGTAAGAAACAAAAGAGGCACTGGTTATTTTCTGCCAGGACATTATCCGATAAAATTGACAGACATTCCTTTAATCATAAAACAACAATGCAATGCATAATTCAAAATAGTGATACAACACCAGAGAAAAATCAATATGGAAAACTCTGCTTTTACAGACTTTTCTTAAAGGCGCGGTTCATAGTAACCCACTATAAATTAGTGCTACTAAATCTGTCAGAAGGAATTCTCATCCATCCAAAACCTCAAAAGCTTACAATGATTTCAGTCTTTAATAGGGTGTTATCATGCTTTTCCAAGTAATTAGTCATTCCTTATGAACGATTGGGTAATATTACCCACCTAACGAAAATATGTTCAAAGAACACTGTGCTAATGTTCCATTTAAGTTATTTTGGAACGTTCGAAACATTTCAAAAACATTTTGGGAACGTTCCACTGAGAAGATGAAATACTCCAAGGCACTGGTGTAGTACAAATAAAAAGCCTTTAATTAACTGGGCTAAATCATTCGAGTACGCGTTTCAGCTTCAGGTTACACAGCAATTATTCTTAAACGATTAGTAAGCAATCAAAGACAGCTGATTAATCAATGGGAGTGGCTAGAGCGTTCCTCGTTGTACAAAACATACCAATATTCAAAAAGCGAGAAACATAAAACAATAATGATACATTTACAATAATAATTCATTTTTATTTATTTAATTAATAGTAATAAATAATTTTGGGAATGTTACTTTTGAATGTTCTCTGAACATTCTGAAACAAGTAGTTACATTTAAAAACGTAACATTTTAAAAACATTTAAACATTCGATGAATGTCCAGCTATAAATGGTACAAAACATTCCACGAACGGCTTAAATAACGTTTTTGTGCTAACTCAGAAAACTTTATACAAACATTCTTCAAACGTTTGTAACTTTCAGAGAACGTTAGCCAAGTAGAACTTTTGGTCACACTTTATTTTAAGGTCCAATTCTCGCTATTAACAAACTATTAACTACAACTTTTGCCTCTTAATTTGCTGCTTATTAATAGATAGTAAGGTAGTTGGGTTACACTTTACTTGAAGGGGTGTGCATAAGACTGACATGACACCTTCATAATCATGACATGACACGTCATGAATATGAAGGTTTTTATGCATGTTTATGACAACTGTCACTAAGTGTCATTTGCTCAGTTATGTAATTTTTAATGCAAAGATGACATTGTTTGAGATGTCTTTGTTAAGGGCTAAGGTTAGTGGTAAGGGTAGGGGTAGGGTTAGGTCAAATAATGTCATATTTGCATTTAAAATGACAAAACTGAGCGAATGACACTTAATGACAGTTGTCATAAACATGCATAAAACCTCCTTCATATTCATGACATGTGTCATGTCATGATTATGAAGGTGTCATGTCAGTCTTATGCACACCCCTTCAAGTAAAGTGTTACCGGTAGTTGTTAAGTTTAGGTATTGTGTAGTAGGATTAGGGATGTAGAATATGGTTATAAGTACTAATAAACAGCCAATATGTTAATAAGCAACTAGTTAATAGTGAGAATTGGTCCCTATACTAAAGTGTTACCCAACTTTTTTTTTTTTTTTTTTTGAGAATGATTTTCTTGAATGTAGAAAATAATTTGAAAATTCTTATCACGATTATAGTGACCAAAATTATCACGGTTATCAGTATTATCACGGTATTGTTAAAATGTGCTGGAGATGTTAAAAAAGTACCGACACACAAATCACTTCACCAAGTTTTATATTTAAAAATCAACAAACAACAAATAAAATGACTTTTTGTTTGCATAATGACTAAAACAATAACATCACCAATGATGTTCGGATTTTAAATGACAACTTAACTGACAACAGTTTAATAGCATGTTCAAATATCTAGCGTAAATGTTCAAATAAAGCTTTGAAAAAGTTTCATAAAAAGGTAAACCTCACAGTTCAGCCTTTAAATAAAATGATAATTGATTAATAAATGATTATATGCATTTTATCTGCTCCATAAATAATTCTAGATAACTCATCTGAATTGTTTAAATGTGTAGAATCCACATAAGCTTGTTTTTCATCAACCGGTCAAAGTTTACAGCAGGGCATGCAAATTCTGTCCATTTTTGGC